TCTCTCTCTCTCTCTCTCTCTCTCTCTTCTCCTTAATTCGTCGCGATTGACCGGCGTGTATCGACGTTTACGCGATCACACCCACGTGACAGGGGGCCATTCAGTGTAAATCGCGAGCGTTGGTCCCCCCGTTGGTTGTGCTGCCGCATGCTTACGCCCGGGGACAAGCTTAATTCGTGTTCATGCGTGCACGGACGGTTCGTTCATTCGACCTCATGAATGCAACCCGCTGGAAAACCGGTGTCTCGTTTCCTTCTTCGTTTCCTTCCCCCGTCCCTTCTCGCCTCCTTCTCGAAAGTGGATCGAGTCGTGGACCACGGTTGCACGGAATTACGCTGGTGCTCGTTTCCTTCGAATTCTACGTGCTTGTGCACGTCAGCGATTGCGTTTGCTTTGTAGAAGTGGATACGTGGGCGGACTAGGTATCCGCGTTATTGGCCTGCCGATTCGACGGGGTATGTATTTCACGTGTCGAGGTCCTCGCGAGTCGTTGGTAGCCATCGACTAAACTTCTTCATCTTTTGACTATCGAATATCTGTTTCGAAATGACAAAATCTGACGATTTGAGAAATGGAGAAATGGTGGTTGAAATTGGACTGAATTACTTCGTTGAAACACTTGAATTGTATTGAAAGATAGTTTTATCCTTCCAAAGAGATCTTGTCTTTGCATATTGTGGTGAACGTTTGCGATGAGACACAGGAAAGAAATTGAATTAAACCACAGTTGCACAATATAAACTTTCTTTTTCAATTTTTTACCATCACGATATAGGCTGCATAGTAAAACGATACAACTTTTAATCTAACTTTCTGTACCTCGTACAGTTTCATAAATATTTAAGATATTGTTTAATTGTTAAGATATCTTTAAAGGAGTGTTTTTACCTCTACGGCCATTTCTCAGCAGGAGAAAGAAATTGTTTCGTCATTAGCATCACGTTAACCACATTTGTGCTTGCATTTTCCAATCGTCAAATTATTCTCGTCAGAGTATATATTTATTTCTGAAAATGAACTTGAGTTAAGCAGAAAGTATAACTTTAACAAAGGAAGAATACTTAAATATAGTACCATTTTTTTTAACTACCACATTTTCCTAGAAAAAAAAGAAAATTAACGTAATCTATCATAGATTTTTCCACAGACTCAATAATTAACACGTTCCGTGCCAAGCGATTTTTGCCTTTTGTTGTCGTTCAGGCC